AGGCACAGACATTGACTTAGGGACACAAGGAATGTGAAAAAGTAAGGAAATGCACCTCCAAAGGAACACAGTAATTCTTCAGAAATAGATCCCAATGAAAAGGAAGTCTTCAAAATGCACAAAAAGGAATTAACAATAATGATCCTAAGGAAGCTCAGGGAGATTCTAGAAAATACAGATAGATAATTCAGTGAAGTCAGGAGACCAATTCATGAACAGAATTAAAAATTAGACAAAGAAATAGAAATAAAAGAACTGGGCTGGCCCCATGGCCTGGTGGCTAAGGAATCTAGATCTCACATGGTGGACCATGCAGTTCAAATACTGTTCCCAGAGGCTTGAAAAATATGCCAGTACATGCGTGCCCCAAGTCCCAACAGGATGGGGATACAAGGAGAAAGGATTGTGGCGTGACCATACTTTACTGGGGGGAGGGGTGCTTTCTCCCTTCCCCCCCTCTGGCAGAATAAAGGCCAACTGCAGTGTGAGTCCTGGACCCAGCAGCTTGAAAAGCACTCTGGCCACATGTGTGCATCTCAGTACCCTGAGAGAAGCATCCCCCTGGAGGGTGCTTTCTTCCTCTCTCTCTCTCTGTCTCCAGTGAGCATGCATGCCCTATAGCGAACTAAAATAAATAAGTAAATTCCTGAAGTAAATGAAAATGGAAGCACAATGTTCCAAAACCTATGAGATATGGCAAAAGCAGCATTAAGAGAGAAGTTCATAACAATAAATGCATATATCCACAAAAAAAAAAAAAAAGATTTCAAGTAAGCAACTTGACCGTTCTCAAGGAACTAGAAAAGCAAGGGCAAGAACAAACAAAAGTAGTAGTAGTAGAAGGAAAGGAGTCACAAAGATCACAGCAGGACTGAAACTGAAAACAGTAGGAAAGAGAAAACTAAAACTCGGGTTTTTTGAAAAGATTAAATTGCAAACTGTTAGCTAGACTAAGAAAAAAAGCTGAAGTCCCAAATAAGTAAAATCAGAAATAAAAAAAGACATTACAACTGAAACCACAGAAATACAGAAGAGCATTAGAGACTGTTAAGAACAACAGCATACAGCACATTGGAAAACCTGGTGAGATGGGTAAATTCCTCAACAAATACAACTTACTGGACTGAATTAGAAAGCAACAGAAAGCCTTTGTGCTCCAAAGGCCAGGACCACATGGGAGGCTTGGACGTTATTCTGGGCCCAGTGCAAAGGCTAGGCACGGTGATGCGCACCTAGTATCCCAGCGACTCAGGAGGCCAAGGCAGGAGCATCTTGACCTTGGTCTGGCCCAGGTAACAGCAAGAGTCTGAAAGAGCTGCGTGCTGGAAGCGCGAGTTTGTGGTCCCTGCTGCTTAGGAGGCTGAGGCAGGAGAACTGCAACACAGCAAAACCCTGCCTTAAATTAAGATAATGATGAGGAGGAGGACATTGAATCAGTCATTAAAAGTCTTCCAACAAAGAAAAACCCAGTACTGCTGAATTTACAAATATTTTAAAGAAGTAACACCACTTCTCAAACTTACCAAAAAACTAGAGGGGAGGGAATGTTCCCAAACTCATTCTGTAAGACCAATATTACCCTCAAACAATAAAACAAACAAAAGAGGGCCAATATCCCTGATAAGCGTATATGCAAAAATTTTCAACAAAATATTAGCAAATGGAAGGCAGCGGCACATCAAAAGCATTATACATCATGGGCAAGTGGAGTATGTCCCCAGGGTACAGGAATCCACACGTGCAAATCAATAAACTTAATACGTCACATCGACAAGGTAGGACAAGAACCACGTGATCGTTGCAGTAGACATGGGAAAATACAACTCAGCATCAACTCAGCCTCCTGAAAAACTCTCAAGAAATTAGGAATAGAAGGAACATATTTCTTTTTTTTTTCTTTTTTTTTTTTTTTAAGAGGTTTTTGCGATAGAGCGCGTGCGCTCGCCAGACAGAGACAGGGAGACAGAAAGTGAGAAATCACCCCCCAGGGAGAATGGCCATGCTGCAATCCCTTCTCCTCCATTCTCCTCTCGGGATCTTGGGTGCGTGTGTGTGTGTTCTCAAAGTCCTGAGACTTTTTTTGTCCAGAGGGTGTGTGCACTGACCAGAGGTGGGGAGGAAGGAGAAAGCAGTCTCCTCCTTCGGTGGCGTCATTGCACGCCCCTCTCCTCCATCTCTCCATCCTGCTGGGATTGGCCAGCGTTTGAGCCCCGTGTGTTTTCAAGTCGACAGAATTGGAATTTGAACTGTACAGTTGCAGTTGGCTTGTGGGATCCAGGTCCCTTGACCATCAGGCCATAGGACCAGCCCTATTTTTTATTTTTTGATAATAGCCATTATAACTGGTTTGAGATAATCTTTTTGTTTTTTGTTTTTGTTTATTTTTTAGAGGTTTTTGCTATGGGACGCGTGCGCTCGCCAGACAGACAGAGACAGAGAGACAGAAAGTGAGAAATCACCCCCCAGGGAGGATGGTCACGCCGCAATCCCTTCTCCTCCATTCTCCTCTCGGGATCTTGGGCACGCACGCACACGCGCCTGCTTTTGATGTGCTTTCCCCTGATGTTAGAGATGTTGTGTATTTTTTTGTATACTTTTTTGGCTACTGAGAAGAGCCTGTTCAGATTATTTGCCCATTTTAAAATCGGACTCTTTTTGCTTTTGAGTACCTTGTGTTACAGATACTAATCCCTGTCAGATGAAGGCTTTGCAGCTACTTCCCATTCTGCTAATTGTCTCTTCACGTTATTGTTTTCTTTGCTCTGCAGAAGCTTTTAAGTTTGATACAGTCCCGTTTGGTTTTGCTTTTGTCATCTCTGGTTTTTAGGTCTTAAGTTTTCGCCTGAACTCTTGTACTGGGAAATTTCCCCTGTGTTGTCTTCTAGCGGTCTCATAGTTTTAGGCCTCACGCTTAAGTCTTTTCATCCAGTTTGAGTTGATCTGTGTTTATGGTGAGAAAGGGGGTCTGTTTTAATTCTCCTGCTTGTGAGTACCCACTTTCATAGCACCATCTGCTGAAGAGACTGCCCTTTCCCCCATGTATGTTTTGTGCAACTTTGTCAAAAATCAGTTGGCTGTATATATGTAGATTATTTCTGGTTTTTAAATTTTATTCCATTGGTATATACGTCTTTTTTTTTTTTTTTGAGAGGTTTTTGCTATAGGGCACGTGCGCTCACCAGACAGACAGACAGATAGAAAGCGAGAAATCACCCCCCAGGAGGGATGGCCATGCTGCAATCCCTTCTCCTCCATTCTCCTCTTGGGATCTTGGGCACGCATGCACATGCGCCTGGCATGAGTTTAAGCCACCGGGTCCAGGACTCGAACCACAGTTGACTGTATGGGAGTTCAGCGACATAGCCGTTACACTAACTGCCGGTTCCCATATCATTTGAACTTCTAAAGATTCATTGATACCTAGTTTGGCCAAAATAGATGATATAGTTAATAATATTATCTGACAAATGAGGCATTACCCTAAGAATGAAAAAATAAGTAGCACTCAAGATGGCTTGCTCTGAGACCAGCAGTTAGCATAATGGCTATGTTGCTGGACTCCCATATAGTCAACTGCGGTTCGCGTCCCGGACCCGATGGCTTAAACTCACACCGGGCACGTGTGTGTGCGCGTGCCCAAGATCCCAAGAGGAGAATGGAGGAGAAGGGATTGCAGCATGGCCATCCCTCCTGGGGGGTGATTTCTCGCTTTCTATCTGTCTGTCTGTCTGGTGAGCGCACGTGCCCTATAGCAAAAACCTCTCCAAAAAAAAAAAAAAAGATGGCTTGCTCTGCTGAATATAGTTTAATCTTAAGTGAGTCAGTTCAGATTTCCGCAGTGTTTCAGGGATAGTATATTGAGCCTCAGATTCCATTTCACTAGAGATGCAGAAAAATGCTAGTTAAAACAGTGCTGACATTTTGCTAGATCAAATGGATTTTTTGTTATATTGGAAGGTTATGTCTGAAATAAAACTTTAAAAGTCACTCAGAGCATTATCCGATGTGTACGTTTATCATCATGTTCTCTTTTTTTTTTTTTTTTTTGGGGGGGTTTTTTTCCCTTTTGGGCCCGCGCCTCCCCTTCTCCTCCATTCTCCTCTCGGGATCTTGGGCACGCACGCATACGCGCCCAGCGTGAGTTTAAGCCACCAGGTCCGGGACTCGAACCACGGTCGACTACATGGGAGTCCAGTGACATAGTCATTACGCTAACTGCTGGTCCCAATGTTCTCATGTTTGATACACTCATAGTTTTGTGTCCCATCAAATGAGCTAATGGAGCCGGGGCCAAGTACACCTGTGCTGGTGGAAGGCAGTGTTGCTGGAGTGGAAGGAGCGGCCCAGCCCGCTAACGCCCTTCCCGCTGGCCGCACTGTGTTCAGGCTCCTTGTCTCTGCTCTCGGCCACACGCTGGAGAGTTCCTGAAGGACTCCCCGCAGCACAGACCTGGCTTGGTGATCCTTCCGTGATTACCCCTAGAGGGTGCTGTTTCCACTGCCATTTGTGTCTCCACAGCCTTTGACCTCGGGCGTGGGAAACCTGTATTCTTGCTTGTGCCCTGCCGCTAATTAGCTTTTGGCCTCAGGCAAACAATTTAACCTTGCAAAAACCTGTGCGTTCTCATCTCTCAAATGGAAATAATACTTCCTGCCTTACCAGTCTCAGAAGAGTGTTGAGAGGGTCACAGGAGATAGTGCGCATAAATGCGTTTTGGAAATTTGAGATGTATAGCGATCAGCATCAGCAATACCTTAGCCATTTGCTCCTAACCCTTAAATATAAACCAGACAGAGCAAAAGGTAAAAGCTTTGGCCTGATGCTCACAAGCCATGAAAAACCAATTCTGGCCCATTTAGTAAAACAAGCAAAAAATCTGATATGCAAAACAGTCAAGCGTGCATTTTGTCTGTCAGTGGCTGTTAAGGGTGAATTGCAGTTAGATTTCAATGCAGACATGCTCATATTCTAAGCAGTCTTTGTCGGATGTCTCCCTGCAGAAACCAGTGAAGGCGTGTCCTTGCAACTGGGAAACACAAAAGATTTCATTATTTCGTTCGACCTCAAGTTCTTGACAAATGGGAGTGTGTCCGTAGTTCTGGAGACCACAGAGAAGAATCAGCTCTTCACTGTGCATTACGTCTCAAATACTCAGCTAATTGCTTTTAAAGAAAGAGACATCTACTATGGCATCGGGCCCAGAACGTCGTGGAGCACGGTTACCAGGGACCTGGTCACTGACCTCAGGAAAGGGGTGGGTCTTTCCAACACGAAAGCTGTCAAGCCGACCAAGATCATGCCCAGGAAGGTGGTTCGGTTGATTGCTAAAGGGAAGGGACTTCTCGACAACATTACCATCTCCACCACAGCTCACATGGCCGCGTTCTTTGCTGCGAGTGACTGGCTGGTCAGGAACCAGGATGAGAAAGGGGGCTGGCCCATCATGGTGACCCGGAAGTTAGGGGAAGGGTTCAAGTCTTTAGAGCCGGGCTGGTACTCTGCCATGGCCCAGGGGCAGGCCATCTCTACGCTAGTCAGGGCCTATCTGCTAACGAAAGACCACGTATTCCTCAGTTCAGCTTTAAGGGCGACAGCCCCTTACAAGTTTCTGTCAGAGCAGCATGGAGTTAAAGCTGTGTTTATGAATAAACATGACTGGTATGAAGAATATCCGACCACGCCTAGCTCTTTCGTTTTAAATGGCTTTATGTATTCTTTAATTGGACTGTATGACTTAAAAGAAACTGCAGGGGAAAAACTCGGGAAAGAAGCGAGGTTGTTGTACGAGCGCGGCATGGAGTCCCTTAAAGCCATGCTGCCCTTGTACGACACTGGCTCAGGGACCATCTATGACCTCCGTCACTTCATGCTGGGCATCGCGCCTAACCTGGCCCGCTGGGACTATCACACCACACACATCAACCAGCTGCAGCTCCTCAGTACCATTGATGAGTCCCCCATCTTCAAAGAATTTGTCAAGAGGTGGAAAAGCTACCTGAAAGGCAGCAGGGCAAAGCACAACTAGAGCTCACGGCCAAAATTACTGTTCAGCCTCTGCCGTCCGCAGGACCGACGGGCTCAGCCTCCACAGAAAACAGGCACATTTTAAGAGGTCGTGTACTAGGTGTTTGCGGATTCCATCAGTGCGATACGTCATCCCTGACCCAGCCTTGGGAACCGATCCCGTTCCGTGGTTTGGGTGTTCGGAAACATAGGTGGTGCTTAGAGCGGGAGGTGCTTAGTCAGCGGGGGGATGAGGATGCTTAGTTTGCCCTGCCAGTCACCCTGGACAGCCCCACAGAGGGCCGGTCACTCAGTTTGGGAAAGACTGGCAAGCAGCCGTCACTCGCCAGCTGTCCAGCACGGACCTGCAAACTCAGTGTGGAGCTCTTTTAAAATGTGATCATTTATATTTATATGGAAAGCAGACTTTAAATCATGTGCTGTAAGAACAGTAAATACGTACTTGTAGCCTGGGTAGTGGACTGTGTTCAACTTTTTACAAAGATGTTGCTTTTCTATCGATTTATTTCTTGGGAGTGAATGAGTGTCTGTTGCATTTGTTCAATTTGTTATATATGGAGACTATTTTGAATTATGGTTTTCTTGAAATGTGTAAATGAAAACACAACCAATGTTCAGGCTTCACAGTTATATAATGTAAGCACAACTAAGATGAAACTTGTTGACTGCACAAGAAATTACAGAAATGTTATCTGTTTTATGAAACTTGATCTACAATCAGTAAAGTTTGATAATCAGTCTGTCCTTCCCCCATCCCATTGTGATAGCTTCTTTTCTGTCGTTACCTAGAATTTTGTATTGCATTTTAGACTGCACTTGAGTTTTGTCCATTTTCCAGGGGACATTTTTGGGACATTGTTTGAGAAATGTATTGCAAACCTAAGTTAGGGAATGAGCTAGTAATTTTAAGCCCACCTCCATTCCCTTTTAGGACTGTACTCTCTTTAAAAAAAAAAAAATGGTTCCAATATTGCATATAAGAATCGTAGCAGGATTATTTTCCTACCTAGATCATCCTTGATCATCACTTTACACACCATTGATTCTTTGTCATCGTTTTTCCCTTTCGAAATTTGACTTTAAGTTATTCTAGCTTTTAGGTAGAGGAGACAGGACAGGACTGCCGTTGCGTCCGCGTGTAATGGGACCTTTGCTTAGGCACTGCCCTCCTGCACCTCACCTAAGCAGGCATCGCCCTCAGGCTGCAGACAGTGTCTGCTCCAGGGGCTCAAGGCCCTGCGCTAAAATGAGGGGAGTCTATTTTACTCTGCCTTTTGTTTTTACGGTATGCTGATCACTAAATCGATACCGTAGCTGATAGAGTTTGGACATAGGAGACCCCACCCCTTTGGGGACTGGGTCTGACAGACGCAGTGCAGTGTGTCTGTGACCTATATCGAGTGCACGTTTGGGAGCCGGTGTTGCACACCACACACGGGATCATAATTGAATTCAGCCTACCAGGCACTGCTTAAAATCCGGAAACAGCCAGCCCCAGGGCCTCATGGTTAAGGGGGCCAGATCCCGTGTGACCAACTGCACAGTTCAAATGCCAGCCTTGGTACCTTGAAGAACTCATCAAACATGTGTTCACGTATGCCCGAAATCTCATCGAATGGAGAAATGAAGGGGAAGGAATGGTGGTGTGATCGCGCCCCGCTGGTGGGGGCTTTTTCTCTGTCTCTCTGCAAGCACACACACCCTCTAGCAGATAACATGATAAGCCAGGAACTGTATGCATATGTGTACATAATATCTGCATATCAGCAACAAAGGGGGGAAGAAAGACCTACACCGAAGACATTAAACTGACCACAGAGAAGGAGGTTTAAACTCCCAGCGTATTCAGCGTTGACCTCAACTCTTCATTTGCCCACAGCAAAAACAGTTGTAGGCTCTTAGGTTTTCCCCTAGCTTTTGACCTTTGTAGTTCTTACACATTAGATATCTCAGCAACATTTAAATTTATGAAATAAACCTTTTATTGTCTCAGCAATAAAAAATGAGGACTCCCTCATTTTTATTTTTAATGCTGATGTTCAAAACGAAATTTCTCCGATCCGGAAGCCCTTTTTACTTTATCACGTTTGTTGTTATTCTGAGTGGTCCAGACTTCTGCTTTGAGTTTTCATACCGGTCTTCTGATTGGCGGAGTCCATGAGAACTTCTGTCTGGTACTGCTTCGGTGACAAATACCAGTGCCTTAACAGAGGGGCCGTCCTTTTCCCCTGAGGGAGGAGAGACTTTCCGATCCAGAAGTGCATCGCCATTTCGCGACTGTTGGTGTTACACTGCCCCCTGCGTTGCAGCAGCAGCCCGGTGTGTCCTGTGGTCCCAGGATTTTCTAGAAGGATGCGTTGACTGTAGCCGCATTGCCAGTACAGACCAGTGCTTCTCAGACTGTAGGGTGCCTTGGAATCACCTGGGAGTCTGTTAAAATGCAGATCCCAGATCGTCCACAAATCCACCGTGAAGCATCATCATCGGCCGCATTTTGAACAAGCCCTCAGGTGATTCCGATGCAGGTGAGCCGGGCACCCCTGGAGGAGCACTGCCCGAGACTGCCCCTTACATTTTGCCTCTGAACAACTACAGAGTTTTCTAAGGTCTGAAAATCATATAAAATGTTTACTTCTTCCTACTAAGAAGGGGGAGTATTTTCCAGTTTTGCTTCTTGACATTTTTGTTTGCCTGTCTTTAGATCGTAGGTGTTGGGTTTTTTTTTTCCCCCGCTTATCCTGAGTTAGCTTTGATGTTAACTATTGCCGCTTCAGTTGTAGACGCAGCCAGAAGTTTCCGGATGCGGGTCGCTTTGACCCTTTGGAGGTAGGTGTGTGAAGGCTGCATCCGAGGGCCGCCCAGGGTACTGAGCAAATGGGATGGCGCACAAGCACAAGCCTGCAGGTGTGGCCGTGCTTCCTCGTCGGCGTGCAAAGCTCTCACTGAAAGCTGCTCTCGTCCTCCTTGTGTCTCCTCACCCCGTCTCCATGGTCCATGTGGGCTCTACGCCATGTGTTAAATATGCAATAAAGTGTTTACTGGATGCCCTTCGGAAGGGTAGCCCTTTGTAAAGCTGTACAGCCTTTGCAGTTGAAGCACAGTGTGCACACGCTAGTTTTATACTCAGCAGAACTTGATTTTTTGCAGATGGAAAGGTATTTTGTTTCTATACAAAGTAAATGGATTGTTTGTGCTTAATGTAAAGCTGCTTTATAAAATTGTAAAATAAAGTTTTTATCTTAAAAGGAATATACCTGGATATTTCTCTTTCTTTTCTCTATTTGAGCCCAGGGAGCACCTTTCTGACCATTTTTTGTTCAACCCGTGACAACTAGTCACGTGACAAAGGTTGTTCAATAAAGGCACACCAGGCCCTGTCAGACAAAATGGGGAACAAAGAGGGTTTGAACCCTAACGAGCTTTAGTCTACAGGGGAATCTAGCGTACAGAGGCAGTCTGCGGGACCAGCAGGTGGCGTGGTGGTTCAGGTACGAGATTTCCACGGGGCTGACCACAGTTTGAGTCCCAGACCTGGGAAATCACACTGGGCGCATGTGCGTGCGTGCCCAAAAGTCCCAAGAGGAGAACGGAGAAGAAGGCATTGCAGCGTGGCCATCCCCCCTAGGAGGTGATTTCTCACTTCCCCTTCTCTGTCTCGGGCAAGCACACACACCCTATGGCAAAAAAATAGATAGATAGAAAGAGAAGAAGGCGGTCGGAGGGAAATCAAGTACTCAGCTGTGTGGTCCTTCAGGAAGGGTGTTTGGAAGGGACGGCCTCCCCCAGGGTTCCCAGGCAGGGGTGGGGCAGGGACGAGGAGGCAGTAACGGGAACAGAAACAGGCAGGGGTGAGGCTGAGGCTGCCCTTCCCAGGGCCGGGTCCACCCGGGCAACTGCTTTTGATGTAGATGTGTGTGAGTCTGTCCCTCCTCGGTTTTCTGTACTCGCCTCTTCAGAGCAATAAACATTCAGGTTTCCTCCGTTTCCCAGAGAGTAACGACATGGGCTCCCAAATACGTGTGTAAGCAGAGACGTTACGGTTTTCTTTCTGGTGTATGTAAAGGTGACTGTATTTTAGGGTTCTGAACCACTTACATAGTGGAATTCCAGTTGGTCAGTCAGCTTTTCCTAGCTGATGGGTGCACAGGTTTTTGACAGGTGCTAATCAACATTCTTGTCGACTGTTCCTTTCTACCACCCTCAGCTGGAAATAGCCACAAGGTCACAAGTGGCCTTGGGCTGTGTGAGGTCTCGGGCCACTCCTGCTCTGACCTTGGCGTCCGCAGCCAAGCTGCTAGTACACCGGCCAGCCTGCCTCCATGTGCCAGCATCTCTGTCACCCATTGCCCACACACAGTACGGGGACATTGCAGGCTGACAAGCCCTCAGTCCCGGCAATGCCTGGTGTCCCCAGGCTCCGATTCCCCGTGCACCCTGTGGACCTTGATGGTTAGGCTACAGGTGGGGCCCGCTCTCAAACGCCAGCAGGCTCCTCCAGGAAGCCGAAGTTGGGGTGGCTAACTAAAGGGAGACACGCCTAGTGAAAGGCAGAAGCCAGAAACCGAATCCTGGCCCTGGGTCCCATGCATCTGCACTCGGGGCCTTGGGGTGCCAGTCTGTGCCTGGATACATTTCCCATGTGTGTGTGTAAGTTGGCTGGGTTTGATGTCTGTTGCTTGCAATGAATGAGTCCTAATTACAACATCTCCACTGTAGAGAAAACGGAGCCAGTCTGGACCCCTGTGCTCGTACTGCTGTCACGAAATACTGCAGACAGGTGGCTTCGAAAGCAGAGATGGATTTTCTCCCAGTGCTGGAGGCTGGCCGTCAAGGTCAAGGTGTTGCAGACCGGTTTCTGTGGCCTCTGCTCGGCTCGCAGATGGCTTCCTGCCCGCCGTGTCCTGCATGGTCGACCGTCCATCTGTCTTGTCTGCGTCCTGATCTCTTACAGCAGCAGTGCTGGCGACGGCTTCCGGCCCATTTCCACAACCTCGTTTTACCTTAATCACCCCATAGTCACCTGAGGTGAGGGCTTCAACTGGTGGCTCTTGGAAGGACACAGGTCAGCCAGTAACGACCGCTGGACCCTGAGGTACAGCCCCCTGGGCTAGCCCCGTATCTGATGATAACCAGCAAAGGCCAAAACTCAAACTACGTTAGGGAAGGAATCTACCTTTCGGGCTAAAGACGGCTCCCTGCCTCTGGCACTGGAATAGCAAGAATTTACTCTCAGGCCAGCCCTGTGGCCTGGTAGTTAAGAAAACTGGATCCCTGGGGTCAGCAGAGGGCATGGTGGTTAAGGCGCTGGATTCTGACCAGTTCAAGTCCCATGGCCGACCACAGTTCAAGTGGCCCTCCTGGCGGCTTGCTTTCTCACTTGTCTGTCTCTCTTTGTCTCTCTCTGGTCAAATTAAAAATAATAATAATAAATAAAGCCAAATAAATAATTCTTTAAAAAAAATGGAGACACCTACTTAAGCTGTAACACTCCATTAGCCCATTCTAAATGTAGAACTCCTCAGGTATTGAAGGGGAAAAATATAGAGAGACAAAAATTGCAAGTTGTGGGGCCAGAAGGTGGCATGGATGTTAAGGCCCTGGATCCCACATGACTGACTTCGAGGTTCTAGTCACAGACCTAGTGGCTTGAAAATCACATCAGGTGCATGTGCATGCATGCCTAAAATCCCGAGAAGAGAAGGAGGAGAAGGGACTGTGGTGTGGCCATTCCCCCAGTGGTGATTCTCTCTATATATAGAGAGAGAAAAAAACTTTTAAGAAAATTGCAAGTTGTGAGATTTTATTTAATGACAACTTTTTAGTCCCAAATCTGCATTATCGTAACTGTTACAAATAGTCAACAATATAGGCGTAAAATACTAATTTTCACTGTACCAACTCATTACGGATGTCAAATTGAAAATGCATGTGAATGTGGATGTTGGCTGGTGATGAATTTGAATGCTTGCTGCTCGATTTCTGGTGAAAGCTCCATTTGCCATCTGGTAAGAATGACTGATAACGTGCATGTGTGCTCATCTCCTGAATGTTAAGCAGCAACCCCCCCATGCATTTCGCTGATCCTCGTCTCAGAGTGAAAGGGTTCTGTGGAGCGACAGGACTGCAAAGCCAGCCGTGGAGGAGAAAACGACGAGAGGAGCCGAGAAAAGTCCTTGGAGCAGCCCAGGCCCAGCCATGGCAGTGCAGGTCAGACGCTGTGCTCTGCAGGCTGGGACCACATGGGAGGCCCGGGTTCGATTCCTGGTCCAATCTATAGGCCAGGACGGGTGGTATACGCCAGTAGTCATGGAGACTCAGGGCAGCTGAGATCTGAGAATTACGTGTAAGGCTGGCCTGGGCAGCAGCGAGGCCCTGTGTGTAAGGACTGGCACCGTTGCTGTTTGCCGGAAGTCCAGAGCCTTGAGAGGCTGAGCCGGAGGGCCACAGCACAGCAAGACGATGTTGTTGTTGTTAAAAAGAGAGCAGCCCACTGAGGTGAAGCACACAGCTTGGCGGTGATGTTGGGGCCATCCCACGCTCGTTGCGTCTAAGCCGAGCACTGGGAAGAGCTGCCACCTCCCTGGGCTTTGCCCTGGTCTCAGCAGCACCCGGAAAAACCACTGAGCTGAAGACGGCTACTCCATGTTTTGTTCAGAAAAATCTAATAATGTTTTTCTCTTTGAGGACTAGAGAGAAGTAAATCCCTGGAGTGGGGTGAGGTAGGGTCTTATTTATAAGCAAACATGACAAAACTAAATGTCTTTTTTTTTTAGAGATATTTTTTTTTTTCTGGGTGTGTGTGTGCTCACCAGAGATACAGAGACAGAGAGACAGAAAGCGAGAAATCACCCCCACCAGGGGGATGGCCATGCTTCAATCCCTTCTCCTCTGTTTACCTCTTGGGATTTTAGGCATGCACCCACATGCACCTGGAGTGAGTTTTAAAGCCATTAGGCCGGGGACTTAAACCGCAGTCAACGACGTGGGAGTCCAGTGACATAATCATTACGCCATCTGCTGGTACCAAAACTGCACAGTTTTAAGTAGAATGACTTTTTTTTTTTTTTTTTTTTTTTTTTTTTGGGGGGGTTTTTTTTTTTTTGTGTGGGCGCCCCCCAACAGACGGAAACGAGAAATCACCCCCCAGGGGGGATGGTCACGCCGCAATCCCTTCTCCTCCATTCTCCTCTCGGGATCTTGGGCACACACGCACACGCGCCCAGCGTGAGTTTAAGCCACCGGGTCCGGGACTCGCACTGCAGTCGACTACGTGGGAGTCCAGCGACAGTCATTACGACAGCTGCTGGTCCCAGAATGCCTGTTATTCTGTTACATTCCCGTAACCTCGGTGAGATGAAATCTCTGCAGTTCACTTGACTGTGGTGGGGGGCCCTACACCAACTCTCAGGTCCCCTTGGTGGCCCGACAGGGCCGCCTGGAGGAGGGTATCGACTCCCCAGCTGCTGTAGGCGGCAAAGGCACTGTCCATCCGGAGAGCCGCAGAAGCCGTTCCG